CTGGGATGAAAAAGAAGTTTCCCGATTCTGGACTCTCCTCTTTCCCTTCACCGTCGACTCCTTTCTCTACGTCTTCCCACTGAGAGAGTCTGTGTTTGTGTTTGTTGAGTTGTTTATTTATTTTGGCTCTCTGCTCTAAAGAGCACACATAAACACACAAACGGAGTCTCATGCACACGCACACATCCGCACAGCAGAGGATATATACACACGCGAAGATTTGTTGCGAGCTCGGGAACGTCGGAGAGTGTATCACTTACTTGCGAGGAGGCCGTAAATCATCCGCAACCCATCGAAAAATCAAGACGGATTACTTCCTGATCCCTCTCGTAACTATTTAATGTCCCATCATCCACAAACACAAATGACGTCTCTGTTTGTCTCCCTTACCCACAGGACATCTATGATAGATTATGCACGACCAACTCCAAATGTTATTAATTTCTAATAAATCGTCTTCGTGTCAAGGAAGTTTTATGACTGAAATCTCTACAATGTTATCAATCGGAACATCTACAAATTTTTGTAATTTAACGGATTGTAATGAACCTGAAAATTTCTGACTACATTTGTTGAAAAATATATTATTATATAATAGACCGACAGAATTACACCAAATCTAAGTACAGATAGTCTGAAAAACAGCTCGTATTTCATTTTTATGTCAATCAAAATGTCATAATATGTCATTCACTAAAAACGTATTTAACGCAACTGACACTAGAATAAAAACAGTAATTACTGCCAATAATAAGCTCATACATCTTCGTCGCATATGACATGAAAATGCTGCACAAAAGTGTCTAGTTTATATCTCACAAAATTATACAATACATATAAGAGGGAAGGTAGAAAAAATTGTGATTTGATTAATTTAACTGTTTATATAATTTTGGATTTGCGATTTGTCTGATTTAAAATCAATAAAAAAAAATTACTTTCAGATATCTCAATTAGGGCAACTAATAGTCGAATGGTTAAGTTGCCCTATCCACGTGCTAGTGGGTACAGGTTCGAATCCTGGTCAAACCAAGCCCTTTGTGAGCCCTCTCGGTGATTGCAGCAATAGAGCCATCGTTCATCACAGATGGACAGTGAAATGAATGAGGTTCAGCCAAGTCGATGGACAAAGACAGTGTTAAGGATTCACAGTGAAAGGAAATAGTGGAATCGCAGAGTATCAATATACTACTGAAGTTAACCTAATCATCATAATGGTAACTATCCAGCGGGAAAGATTACCTACCTAATGTCAACCGCAATATTAAATTTATTCAATGTTCACATTTATGAACAGATTGTAAATAATCTCAATTAATTCGTCTTTAATTAATTACAATAATAATTACAAATTATTTTAAATACGAACTAAAATTTATAGTAAACTGAAAAAAATGTAATTATTGATTATAGTCATTCACCCACAATTCAATCAAAAATGTTAATTTTCCCTTGAAATTGCTTAATGTAAGACATTTAGAAAAATACTTGAAGGACACTAGTTTAGTGAACATTTTTTATTAAAATTGTATTTCGTTAAGGAAAATACTAAACAAATTATAATTTTACCGATTTCAATTATTTTAGTTTAATTTAATTTGATTTTGTATGGAGTTTATTTATGTAATTCGAAAATATTAGATTATTATATAAAATAATTATAATCATTTGTAGTTATATGTATTTTTTGTGGGAGCACTAGAATTCTAAATAAATTAAAAAGTAAGTTTTGTACGAAGGAAGCATAATTGAAACTTAATTTTAAAGTTTTGGAAATTTACTGAGTTCTTTCTCTCTAGTCTATAGTCTAAATCGGTGGCAATCGTGAGCCCGACAACCGAAATACCGTCAATCAAATTCCCGACGATTGAAATTCCGATGTTCGAAATCCCGGCTGTATCTAAATCCCAACAACCATAATTCCGACTATATCAAAATCCCGACTGTATCGAAAATGTCTACAATAACATTTTTTAATTATTCCGGAGCGTAGTCATTTTTAAATTGTTATTAATAATAAATAATAACAATTAATAATCTAATTGTATTTGAGATTATTTCATAATGTTAAGGTTTATTATTAATAATTCAACAAAATCAAATAAATTAATAATAATTTTTTGTTATTAATAATAAAAATGTAGCACAATTTTCGATATAGACGGGATTTTGATTCTGTAGTATAGGTAATTTAAAAAAAAAATTGAGAAAAAACATTCAATCTTTTTTTAGTAATTATTTCATTTCAGGTTTTCACAGAATATCAATAAATTGTCCAGTGTTCCGCGGAACATAGTTTGGGAAACTCTGGCCTAGATCATGTACAAAATTAAACTTCTTAAACAATGCACTTAATAAGATTTTAGTACCTACAGGCATTCTGTACAACGGAAAACTTCGTACACAATTTCCTACTTTATTTCAGCAAGTTTGGTTATTCAACAAAACTAAACTTTTAGCTTTATTTTCATATCGAGTAGAAATTTATCTAAAGTAATAATATTTATAGTAAATAGATTTTAAAATTTAAGCAACTTCAACGTATATCAAATCATTTGAATCAAATTTACTTTATATAGTATAGTAAAACGTATTCAAAAATACACATAATATGTGTACACATATTTTAAAAATGTTATGCAAAACGTCGCTCGTTAAGCGTTTTCTTACAATTCATTTTGCTCGTTATGCGAGGTTCCACTGTATATCAAAATTCAAGTGAGATATTTCATAAAATTTATGTAACGCTCTTCATCGAAAATGACTTTGGATTTAAAAATATTAATGGTTAAAGCGTATGCGAGTTGTCTAAATATAGATCCGAATGTGATTCTAAAAGGGAGACTGTGATACCGGAAAAAAAAACTAGACATAGTGAAACTGGAAGAAGATTATAGTAAATCTAATATGTAAAATAAGTTAGTGTGTGAGAGAGAGAATATGTATAGATAGATAATATTGGGGGAGAGTGTGTGCGTGTATGCGTGTTAGATGGATTGCCATCAGTTAGGGAAGTCAAATGGTCCAGTTGAAGTAGACGGAGCATATGCCTAAGTCATTAGTAAACGTTCACTTAAGGGGCCATTTATTTAACAAACTGACGGGTATACACGTATACACATATCTGCTCTTATTCATAGGCAAGTAAAGAAAAGCTAATCGGCTTACGGCAAGTAAAAAAAATCCAATTATCGATTGGAATATAAATATTTACATGCGCATTATTTTCGCGAAATGATTTTTTTTTCTTATTTTCTGGTGTTTTTTTTTGCATGTCGAAATTTAACTCATTATTATAAAACGTATAAATATTTTGTCTGGCTTTCCTCAAAGTTAAACAAACCGTAAAAGTGTTTAATACCAGTAATTAGTATTAACGCGCAAGCAAATACAATTTAATTTTAGAAAAAATATATTTGTAAATATTATACAACAATTGCATCCTATTAAATGAATTATTTCAAAATGATTTAAAAAAAATTAATTTAGATTCAAAGCAAAAAATGGGAGTGGATATATAAGGGCCCTCAAATGCTAAAAGTGACTGTAGTTTAGGGCCCACGACATTCTTAATGTGGCCCTCCTATATACCACTCCCGCCATCATTTGATAACTGGTGTTGATGATTTTCTCTATTCCAAATAAAAATTTCCCAGGTGCCATCAAAAGTATAAGTTTAAGTACTTAAAATTTGCTTAGATTTTATGTGAAATTAAAGTGAAATTAACTCATTTTTTTTCTTTAAGATCTAAATTCTTAATTCTATTTCTAAAAATAGTCATACTATTGTAATATTAAGTATATGATCTTATTTAGTCAGTTATTTTTCCTGTTGCTTCAATTTTCATGTTTGTATTAACTTTTTTTTTAACAATCTTTGAAATATTTATAATTGAATTAAAGATTTGTTGTTAATTATCAATAATAAGTTTTTACAGTATCTACTACATATGCATCTACAGCAATACTTCGCATAGCCTTCGATCAATGCGGATTCACTATAGTCCGGTTTGAAATGTTTTAAAACAAGCTAAATTTTAATTCAGAAAAAAACAATATTTCAATTATTTTTTCAAACAGTGCAGAACAGATTACCCGAACTATGCGAGGAAATATTTTTCAATTAATAAAATAAAATCAACAATTAGCTATTAAATCTGTGATTTTTACTAAAATTTGTAATATTTTTTTTTTGGGTGTAATCCAAATTTACATGAACAATGAATATTGAAATCAATTGAAAAGTTGATAAAAATTTATTTGATTACATTTGTATTAACCTTAATGAGTTACGTGGTAAATTTCTTATTCTTCAGTCATCATTTCTAGAACAAATATGACACCGACCATTTCCAGCTCTGGAACATTATTTTCCTTAGTCGAATTACAGCATTCTTTGACGCTGAGAATAAATTTTAGTTGTTTTGCAATCGATTCAATCTGAAGTTTCTACTACAGCAAAATATACACTATAGTATTATTACTTGGAGTTGGGATTAATTTGTATCCCACATTAATTACTTGATTAAAATTGCTCGTGACTTGTTAATTCTGTACTAAAGTTTCTTGTTCTTCAGTCGTTATTTCTAGAAATATGACACCGACCATTTACAGCTCTGGAACATTATTTTCCTTAATCGAATTACAGCATTCTTTAACGCTGAGAATAATTTTTAGTTGTTTTGGAATCGATTCAATCTGAACTTTCTACTACAGAAAAAAACACACTATAGTAATATTATTGTAATGATTTTGTTAAAACGAACCTACCTTTGAACCTTGTTTTTATTTAATACGTAAGTGGGATTAGGGAATATTGTAAATAAATAATTTCATAACAACTATATTTTTTCAGGTAAATTATAAATAAAATATATTTTGAAAAAAAAAAAATTATATAATTTATATATATTATATGTATAATATCTTTATATAAATACACTTTTCTATATAATAGTAATTGCTTAATGCGACTAATTTTTTGGCATCTCGGTAAATAAAAAATATTCCGTTTAATAAATATATTATTTCTCTTTCCGCTAAGTCTAGGTAATATAATGTAAAGTTCATCTCTTTCTCTCTTTTAGGTTTAATCTAAGGTTATTTCGGATAATCAAGAAGGCAATGATGAAAAAGCTTTTTGTTTCAGTCGTCCATGGAAACGAAATACTTGATTGTGAATGAGGTGATTTGCGGCTACATTCAGAGAATGAATAAGTTAACTCTATTTGAAAATTGTTGCAAAAAAAAAAAAAATTATAATATTAATAGAAGGCACCAATTGGTTCAGTTCTGTGATTCCGGATGGTCGTTATCTGTTGAAGTCGTATCCGTTTTGGGTACCGCGCAAATTGTTTCCACCGTAGAAACTGTGCGGATAGTTGGAGTAAACGCTCCTTCCGAACTGGTTCATCCTCAGCGTCTTGTCGTTTCCATAAACCGGATTGTAGCTGTGCAGAAGGTTGTGGGGATGATAAACTGGGCCGTAGTTGCACAGCTCCCCAGAATACGGCTGCGAAATCGTCCCCAGAGGATTCAGTAGCGAAGGAGCGTACCGGTTCGGATCCTGTGTTTGTGGATGTTGCTGCTGTTGCTGTTGCGTTTGCTGCTGATGATGTTGCTGCTGGTGCTGGATCTGAATAGGGACCTCATCATCTGCAGACAAACAGAGAAAGTTATTTCCAAAGCCCCTCCAAACACTAACCAGACTTTAAACACACTCACATTTATATCCGACAGAGAAAGATATAGCGGGGGAAAAAAAAAGTGTGGTAGAGTCGGAGCGTAAGATGTAAATAAACTATCAATTTTTTTTTTTTGTAGAAAATAAAGTTCGGTGGATCCGCCGCCTTTTTTATTATCTGTTTACACAAAAGAGCGAAAAACACAAGCTCGGGGTCGATCAATCAAAGAGTCTCCTCGTTCCGCAAGGATTAATTATAAATGATCCTGAAAGCTCGACCTCGCGTCTTTGCTTTATGCTCTTCGCCAAAGGCGTGTCTCGAACGTGGGAATCAAAATAAGATGACAGAAATAATATACACAAACAAATCTAGTCACTTCAAAGGAAAGTCATTTCGCTCAGAGTTGTTTTTTTCTTTTTTGAAATTTTCGTTGACGATCAAACACAACAAACCTCCGAATGATTTCATTTAATATTTTTGTTCTATTATTTAATAAAAATATTTATTCTATACACAAACTGCCTATTTAATGATGTAACTTTTAAACTTTGATGACATTTGGTTTCATTAAAATTATTTTATTTATTCTACTTTCAGTGTTGATATGGCATCTTTTAGTGAACATCAGCGACCATAATATAGGTAAATCAAAGGTTAATTAAACTTCTGATTATTTTCAACAACAATTTTTTAAATTAACAATAAAGTTTCATGTTGAAAATATTTGTTTCAGTACTAGAAATATTGTTGTTCAATTATAGTTAGAAACTATTCAAAATCCGTTCAAAAATTTCTGGATTTTTACTCCTATGCTGAAATACGTTTTCCCATATAAACTAATGTAAATTACGATAATGCGTTCCATGCCGGACAAAAAAAGTATAACTTGGTCTTGATTTTTCATGATTTTGCTTTTCAAAGAAAATCGAAGATTGTTAATATATTAAAAAATACAAATAATATGTGTACACAAGTTGTAAAAATGATGTAGAAGGCGCGCAATCCGGGACTTCTCTTCTCATCGTCACTCGTTATGCGAAACGTCGCTCGTTAAGCGAGTCATATTTCTTATAATTCATTTTGCTCGTTAAGCGAGGGTCCACTGTACATTATAAATTTCACAGGCTACAAAAAAAGAACTATTAATACAAAAACTAATTAATGATTTAATTTTGCTATTAATACTGTAAGAAATTGATGTTTGATGAAAGTCTAATATAATTTTCAATAAAAATATATATTTGTTCTTGTGATATAATTTTTAAGTTGAACAGAAAAATGGTCTAAAAATTTGGAAATCATAATAAAAATGAAACTTAACAGACCTTAGTTGAATCCATACATATTATTTTGAATAAATTCTTTTAATGAATGAAATCGGACAAATGGAGGTCTTTAAAATCGTATAAAAATAGACTTGACTGTATACAGGGAAAAATGAACTGTACATAATTTTGTATCCTAATTTTTTAGAATTTATTTTTATTTTACTCGATTAAAACACACAGACTGAATATACCGTTATGATATTTCATAGAAGATTGTCATTTTTTTTGCTTTTATTTCACTAGTTACAAGAAAGGTTGCAATAATGGGTGATTCACGAAAATTAAGAATTAAAACTTTTATATAAAAATGTTTGATTTTTTGATCTTTGACCTTTCATAATCTTTCAAGCAACTTAAACATTACATCTCCTCTGTATTTGGTTTTTCGTCAAAAAAAAAAAAAAAAATGTGTAAATCGGAAAGTGCATTGTCTCCAACAATTTTTGTTGAGTAATAAAAGATATATAAGGGCTAATTTTGCCGTGTTTTTGTCCATTAAATTGTGCAAAACCATTATATCTTAACGGTTGATTATCGATCAATGTCTTGATATCATCATTATTACTAGCAGAATTACTTTAAGGCTGAAATCATCAGCTCTAAATTTGGAGAATTATGATAATAAAGTTCATTTAGCTACAGCAATTCCTCCGTAAGCAAAATATATCTTAATTATTGCTGTAGTGAAAGTATAAAAGTCTAAAATGTCCTTTGTTTTCTTCAATCTTTACTAAATGTGTCAGTTTCATTTGATCCAAATCTTCCTTTTTTTTAAATACGGTTGAAATCTCACTTCATATTTAAACATCGATATTTAGCGAAAATCGACACAAACTTTCAGGACAATCGGATAGATAAAAAAGAAAATTATAATATGATGATGATGCTTTCCAAAGTAACCCGAAATTATGAAACCAATTATATAATAAGCACCCTTATTCATAGTCAATTTCTGTAAGTACTATACATATTAATAGTGATGTTTGAAAATAAATTTCTTGTTTGATATTTAATATAAATTACGGATATTTTAATGTAATCAAACAATTTTTTTGTTAAATAAATAATTTAATTTACTTTTATTTTATTTCATGTAAACTTGTTGAAAAACTTTGATTTTTACATTAAAATTCGTTAAAAAATTTTGGTGTAATTTACAGAAATCCAATTTTGCATTCTTTATGTAGAATGCAAAACAATGAAGATATGTTTCTAACACATTGAAAATAAATAAATTAATTTACTTTGATAGAATAACAAAATATGTAAAGTTTTAATGAAATTATCTCTGATATAGCTGTCGCTGTCTTTGGTATCCTACATTTTTGTTTTATTTTTTTTTTGTTTTATGTGTACGTGCGTGTAAAGAATTTACTGGCTGTTTGTCGGAGGAGGCTGTTCTAAACAAACCGCAAAGTAGTATCGTTATTTTTTTTTCCTCTCCCGTCCAATGTTTACAGATCGGCGGCAGCAGATGGCCGCCCCCCTCGAAACCAACCTAGGTTTGTACGCACGTTCCCTCTCCTTCCGACAACATAAATCCACCGTTTTTAAGAGCGAGACGCCGCAACCCCCGCGTCCCCACCCCCGCGATTAACGACGCGCCAACGACGTTTACGTCCGACGGCGTAAATTCATTTCGAAAATATAATCCAAACAGCCACACTTCATTTAAACTACTCAAACAAACTTCCAAAGAACATCCCACATAAAATTAAAGACGAAAAAAACACACACACACACACCAAAATACAGACACACACACTTCTTATAAACACTACGATACAGATACACACAATCCACTGAAAAATTAAGTTTTTTTTTTCTTCTTCTCTTGACTTCCTCTTAATACTTCTTTCCGATTCACTCAAATACGTTTATGATCTGACCATCCTTAGTCTTGGTAATTAGTCTTGGCCCAAATTTTTTTTTTGCCGATAAAAAAATTACAAATACTGGAAACACGTGCGCTTTGGAAAAAGTCAGATTGCAACAGAATCTAGAATAGCCCAACAATGACCTATGTATGAAACATTTTCAATTTAAACACCGTTTAAATGATTATTTTTAGAACTTGTAGAGAATAAATAATCAAATGTATATTGATTTTAACATATACGTTAAAATATTGCTTCACTTATACGTTTAACATATTTTGAAAGACAATAAAAATAATAATTTTTGAACATGAAAATTTGAAATTTATTTAACTTTTCCTAATTATAAAACATCAAATATATTCATTCAATGTCTGAATCATACATCATTGTAAACAATCAAATAATACATTTACATTCACAATTATAATAATTAAATAGAGAAAAGATCATGAAATAATAGATTTACAAAGAATTATGCCTTCTTCTAAACAAGGCGTCAATAATTTTCCATGATAATAAAAACAATCATTTTTTTATCAGACAATTTTGCTAAATAGACGTTAATATGTGTAAAAATACTATACTCAACCATCAGATTATGCAATTTGTTAATTCATATTTAATATATAATTTTGAAAGTTGATTATTCTTCATTATTTATGTTTTTTCCCTGAAATTTGTATCACAAATAGAATATCGTGTTAAAAAGTATATAAATTGAATTCTAAATAAAAATGTATGTTATTTCTATGCACAAATAAAAATAAAACGGATTGAAATGCAGAAATATTACTTTTATTTTTTTATCCATCAAATTTGAAAATGGAAATGGTTTACCGCTGTGGTCCCCAACCTCCATGTGTGCTCAATAAATACTGTTTTTTTAATAATAAAGAAAACATATTTTGTTATGCACATATTCTTACATACAGATCTCTATGATAGTTCTATTTCAGGGTTTTGTATTAATTTTTTTAAAAAACACATGGATAACAATGTTCGGGAAACTAACACTGTTCGGGCCCACGACAAACACTAATTGGGGCCTTCTACTAACACTATTTGGGCCCACGAGAAAAACTAATTGGAGCCCTCAACTAACACTACTTGGGCCCACGATAAACACTAATTGGGGTCCTGGATTAACATTGTTTGGAGGTGTATTAAATTAATCAAAATTAGCGTTAGTTGCATTGAGTTGATATACATATAAAACATTATTGACCGCAATGTTTTCGCCATCATTTCTATATATATATAATAAATAAATTGTTTATATTTTCATAAAATATCAAATTTTAACTGAATTATAATTATAATAAAACAAAAACTCTTGTATTAACAAAGAATTCTAAATACGTGAGAATATGTAAAGTTGAAATAATGTGGACAATGTGCAAATCACATTCCACTTTATTAGATTGCGCATAATGGTTGTGCCAGTTTTTATTTCTACACTCTACATTTGGGAATAAATTAAATGGCAGTAGTAGTATGCGTATTAGGAATGCCGTACAACGCGGAAAGTATTAATTTAGTCACGAAACGGCATTGGTGCACTTCGAATACATAATTATTACAAATATATTCCTCACCCATCACACCCATTTATTGAACTTGTTTACTTCCTAATTCCAAAAATATACAGTCTCAATGGCACTTCTTGCAATAACATTGTTTCGTGTTTTGATTGCATAAAAAAAAGTAATTCTAGTTGACAAAAAATAAATTAGCAAAGTGATTTCTGATAAATTGTTATTCATCAATCTTCAAGAAGGCGGATGTATAAAAATATATAATGTCTATATAAAAATTAGAAGATTGTTGCTTGACATCAAAAAAACGTTTAAACTGCCTAACTTTACCTATAAGAAGATCATGTGTAAAACAAATGGTTTAACAATTTGCTAGTTGAAGCATTTTTTTGTATTAAACTTGAAATGAGCCTGAAGTTTTTGGTTTAAAAATTTAAGAAAAAAATCTGAATCATAATGTTTCCTGGTCTATTCTACATCATTTCTATGTTTTCTTCTAGTTGATCAGGAGGAGCATTATTATGTATCATCCTTAAGAGGTTTGTCAAGTAGCAATCCATCTATATCATCAAATTAACTATCTGATACAATTTCCGCAAGTTGTGGCAATTTCTTTTAGCAGCAGATGCAATTTCAATTTTAATTGTAAAAAATAACATTTGACAAAAAACGTGAAATGTAGTACAGTTTGTATGTATATAACTCGAACTACAAGACGAAAAATGTGTAATGTGATCCAAAAAATAATTTTTAATTAGATTTTACTTAATATTTTTGGGATGCTCACTTTATTTATTTTTTATAAATATATTCTGTTTTTGTTGTGTTTTATATTAAATTAAGAATTAAAAAAAAATTCTTACCTTTCGTTAAAGTAGGTGTCGTTCTGGGAGTCTTTGCTTTTGGACTACTTTGTTGGTGCTGCTGTTGTTGTTGTTGTTGCTGCTGCTGCACCAAATTAACATCCCTGGAGAAAGAGAGAAACACAAACGTCTAAATAAAATAATAATAAAGAAGAGCAGGAAGAAGAATGCTCGCGTTATAGGACGCGGTGTCAAATAATTCCGAATAACGTCCCCATAAATACAATTAAATTCGTTGGCGGCGGCACACGTGAAACCGCTTAAATTTAGAAAATGTAGCGACGCCGCGCGTCTCGACGCCCCGCACCGTATAAATTAACGAAACGCACCAGATAAATTAATTTCGCCCCATCGGCCAATCCCGAAACGCGCACACAAAACGCCGCCGCCGCAATTATTCCCATTAATTTTACATTAATATTACCTACCCACAACCCGAAACAGTTTTTCAGGTCACATAGCTTAATTATATCCTCTCGCATTTCTACACATGTGCACCACAGAAATTTCAGTTTTAAAGTGATCACTCTTTTGAAGTTATCATTTTCGAGCAACGTCGAACTTGTCACAGTTATGACAGCACGTATTTGTACATTATTGAAACGTTGCGTATCGGAAAGGCAATTGATTATGTCAAATATGCGACAAATTTTTGGTGATCGTGAGTATATTAATCATAATTTCGGAACGAGACATGTGTCACAATAGAAAAAATGACTCACCCGTCGTCTGGATCGCAATCTCGGAAACCTTTGGCAAATGGGTTGCTCGCAATCTTCAATTGAGTTATCTGTTGACATTTGATAAGATGAAGTTATAAAAGAAAATATATATATATATAGGAGACGCACCCTGTGATTCTGGTAAGCGGTGACAGCTGTGAAGGCGGTTTCGGTGAAAACGAAGGTTTTGAAATTGTTATCCGTTTCCTCTTGGCAATTTTTTGGTGGAAGGAAAACCACGTGGAATCTTGGTTGATAGCGATGCATCGAATTTAAGATGATCTGTGTAATGCAAATGATTATATAATTGTTAATTGATCAGGTAATGTAAATGAGATAATTACATGTCCGTTATCGTCCATTTGGTTGTTTGTTAGCTTCAGTTTGTCGAAGCTGATGACCTGTTTCATCCATTGAGACCCGGTAGCGGGACTGTCTGGATGCACGTGGATCCTCGGCGGTGAAACGGGATCCGCTTTTCCGGCTACGACCCAACTGGAACTGAAGTAGCACCGAAAATTTAAAAAAAAACCTAATCTGAAATGGGTTTCAATCTGCAATTACCTGTGGAAAGCATATCTGTAACGCTTGTCGTCGACGGGAACAAAGTCCATCATAAGCATATACTCTGCCATCGGATCCAATCCGCACAATCTGACCTGAAACGTGGGGAACATCCGTCGTCCCGCTTTAGTCACGATCATTTCCGTTCCCAAAGTGTGAAACTCATCCCATAGCGGCTTCATCTCCAGTATGGCATTAGCCGCGTTTAAAGCTGGACTCGAAGAAATGCTAAATGCAAATTTTTAATAACACTCATAACCATAACAGTTGTTAGGCTTACTTGGAATGCTGGTTTTTGCCTTTATTCGTCCTATTGTTATTGTCCTCTGTGTCTTCGAGGATGGCGGAATCGGCGTGGCTTAACGGGGAGTAGGCCCTGCGATCCTTGCTGGCAATTTGAAGGCAGGCTGTGAAATATTCAGGGGAATCAGAAAACGAAGAGGAGAAAAGCAACAATCGTTTGGCTATTTGTAGCGGAATAGTGGTCTGGGAAGCGGAGCAAAAAGTATGTGGCAGAAGGAAGAATGCCGTCGGGGAACGGGATAAGATGGATGGCTTTTGGTCCCCGAACGGGAACGATTTGGGAGGGCCTCCGGAGGTACTAAATCACCAAACGGAATCTCAAATTCCAGAGCGCCACAGTTCTAACATGCCACTAATATGTAGGAATTAGCTGCGACACGACTAAGACGCGACATTCCAAATCAACTGCACCGACGGATCAGAGTAGGTCATGGATTATGATCGTGCGAAATATTACAATATATTTCTGACATCACTAGTTTTGACCAATCAAATGACACAACAGTTAATTATAGTAATCCACATCCGCTTACTATATAGTAAGATAATTCACGAAAGTTAATTGTATGTTACACAAACTGTCGCCATTTTTAATACACAGTTCTGAACATGCTGACAGTTTATCATCACCTATGATTATCTCCACATTCCATACATTTTATTTACAGCACATGCACATTTTAAGAACACTAGATTAAAATGTTGACAGTTACGAATTATCTTAAATAAAAAACTGCTTTTTCTCTTGAATTATATCCTCATTACTTACAGATGTCCAAAACTATTATTTTTTTTACAATATTTACAATTGCAGAAATTGTATTAAGCAGAAACAAATTAAATAAACTGAAAATTAATCTTAAATTCCGATGAAGACGATTAATTTAAAAAAAAAATGGCAGTTTTAATAATAGCTTTATTTATGGAACAGAAAATTTTGTTATAATTATTAATGATCCGACGGAGATGAGAAACGAGAGATATTTTGAGAATATTACATATTTTTTTTTTCTTCGTTTGCAGTGAATTGGTTATACAATAAATCGTCCATCTTACGAGTACGATCGTAAATTGCTCGATTCCGAGTAAATTGCCAACAAAAGAATCTGTAGCAAAAATTTCTAAATATATATATAAATATGAAAAAGTATTCGGTCGAAAATAACATATACATTTGAATGGCGCTTATCAAGTTTATGTAATACATCTAAAAATATGATGAATTTCAGTTCATGATATTTAATGTAAAATTTAAATTTAAAAAAAAAAAACGCCTAATTCGAATGATGCGCAAGTATTGTATGGAACCATGGTAAAAGAAAGAAGATTTGGTAGTTAGTAACAAATCTTAACGCTAGGTTCTTGAAATAGAATGCGTGAAAAACTACTTAACTTTTGAACACATTTAACATTCTTGATTTAAAAAAAAAATAGATTATTTGTGCAGACTAAATGACTGGATTGAATTGTACTCGTATTCTTAAAATATGGTAATCTGTGTTATATAAGAAAATATGAATATTTAAAGTTGATTTAGAATAGGAAGGAATCTATATGCTGTTTTCATCAGTTTACCCTAATTAAAAAAATGTAAAAAACATAGCATAATATCTATCAGTTATGTTTATAAATTATATAGAGATTAGTGCGTAATTGACGGATATGTTGTATATTACTATACAAACGAGGATCGCAATGTTGATTATGAAAATAGAAGAATGATTCATTTTTTTTTTTATAAAACGTTGATTTTTTGAAAAAATTATAAACTGTTGTTACGAAAAAATAATATGTTTGTAATGAACAATAACATTACTTTTGTGAAACTGAATATATTAAGTTTTTTATTATTACTAAACTATATTTTTAATTTTGAAAATTGAGTAAGAAATGGTTTGAAGAATTGAATATGTGCTGTAATGAGGTATTATCAAAAAATAGACATCTAGATTGATAATTATGAGTTGTCAGTACTCGGAATGCCCTTAAATTTGTTAAAATTTTAATAGCGGAATAAATCAATCAGTGTTCGGCTAATTTGTACCTAGCCGGGTCGTGCAATTAATTATTCTAATTAAGTGCGTCGTCGCAGTCGTCTTCGTCGTCGTTCGTACTTATTTTTACCTTCTATCTGCTTCATGGGAGTGACTCCAGAATTGTTGTAGTTCCAGGCTTCCGTTGGATAGCAACAGTCGCTTTGGTGGATAGTCGAGGCTGCTGCATCCAAACCCGCAGGGGGTTGGCTGTACTCCGGCTGGTGATGGTGCATTCTGATGCAACTAATTATATAGTACAGATATATGGAATCTATTGCGAAACAACGCACTTTTCTTATCACTCAGATTCGTACACGACACACGCGATTTGTTATGTTGATAATGATGATGGCGATGTTGATGACTGTGATGATGATGATGATGATCGGGTTCAATAGACGGGCCAGATTGTTTTCAGTTCTGGGTGGTGTTTATATTGCATTCGGATTGGTGAAATGTTGATCGCTCGCGCGCCTCAAGATTCGCCAACGTTTCTTGTCAACACTTTCCATAAGTGCTAATCTCTCGTTTCGCTCATTTAGGACGGCCCCTCATGCCTCTGCCCGGGTCCTCGGTTGATCTTCCTAAATCTAATGTTTAGATTAAAACCACTCTCTATCTTTCTATCTTCTTTTAACCTTCCGCTGAAAGCGACTTTAAGTCGGGCGGACTTCAGGCGAAATCTGCGCGAATATTTTATTTTGGCGCACAAATCCGTCCGGCATTCGCTTAAGTATAAATCAAAGGCGATTGCCTTTTCAGCGCCTCCATTAGGCTTTTCAGCTGCTCCGGATCTGGATTGATGGTTGCACTTCAGGAGTCTACGGCTGCTCGCAACAGCAGGACGATGATATCTTCTGCCTTTGATTTTTATTTTATACTTTTTTTTATATCTCTGCGTGTGCGTGTGTGTTTTGGGTATTTTTCAGGAACGCGATCGTTGCAAAAATTGCGGCGCGCCGACCCGTCGTGCTGAGTGACTGAAAACTGAAATCTACACGGCCCTGTCTGTTAGCGCCGTGACTTAAGACGCTGGAGGGCGGGGTCGAGACGCTCGATCTCCATTGGTGCAACGCGTCGCTAAGGGCGTTCCTTCAGCCGGAGACACTTAAGTAGGTACGCCTGAAAAATAAACAAATAAACTGTAGTTTTTTTTCTACTTCGTCTTTCTCAGTTCACCGACGGAGGCGATTTTTCTCTTTACCTTTTCTCCAAAAAATAAATTACAAACATCCAAAGTAATAATTCACAACAACAATAGACTAAGAACGTTTATTTATTATTATTTTTAATTAATATCGATATCGATCATTATCATTGAAATATTTCAATATTACAGTTACTTTATCCTCTAAAGTGTAATACAAATATATAGATCAATATAATTATATTTATTACAACAAATACACAAATTTATGTAAACAAAATCAAAAATATTCTAACTTTTAATACTCCAATTACATCATATAGATCTTAGATCCTCTGAATAATATTTCGGTATCCAAATCTATCATTTTAATAAAAGTTTCATCCATTAATAATATACATATACAAAGAAAAGCAAACATAAATAATTAATAATAATAAACTCCAAATAAGTTGGATTCAGATCCAGTTTTGACTGAGAATTTGACGCAGTAATCTAAGTTTTTGTTCGAATTTTCTTTATTTCAACAGCAGTTGTACCATCTTTACTAATTAATTTAATTAAAATAAATCGGAATTATTTTATTGATGTATTTTCCTAAATTCTAGAGTATTTTCCTCAAATTGTACAAAACATTGACAATATCCGAATATACATTGATCTAGATTCTAGAATACGTAAAATTAGACAATTTAGCAATTTAATTTATGGGTACTATAGGTATTAAATAATGTATAATCAGATGCACTTACAGCTTTTTTAGCCATTTGTACAAGTAGCAATCATATTAATAATATTAATTTCATGCTTTGAAAAACATGAGATTTCTTCCTAAATTAATCTTAGATGTACATTTTAGGGAATCGACGAAATAATTTTCCACTCGTTTTAGTTTTATAATTGTAAAATGTGTAAGTAACAACATTTACAATTTCTGAGTAAAACAATTTTTTGATAAGGAATATGGGTTTCTTATCAAAAATTACTGGTAATTTTGATAATCATATTGGCTAGGTTAACCGTTTACCAGAAATTGGAACCCTTATGTAGAAGATGTTTAAAGATTATTTTCTAATCATACCTATAGTTCTGTTGTTACTAGTTTATTTAAAACTTTGATTTAGGTCTAAAATTTTAAATTGATCTATGCGCATTTAGAGATTATTTATTTTAAATTTATGAAAGTTCATGTCTAATAAATTCAATATGGTTTTTCAGTATTTTAATGTTAGAGTTATTTTTAAAGAGTTTAATACGTTCCAAACTGTATTCGTATAGTGAAACATATTCAAAAATACACATAATATGTGTACACAAGTTTTTAAAATGATGTTCAGCGAAACGTCGCTCGTTAAGCGAATCATTTTTCTTACAATTCATTTTATTCGTTAAGTGGTCGTTAAGCGAGGTTCCGCTGTATAAGAAAAAAGTAGATTAAAATTTTATAATTCATGTAAAATACAATAATGCGTTCCTCCTGAAAAGAAGTTTTCTGTATTAAGTTTATTCAAAGAAAATTATATAAGCAACGTGAATCATCTTCATCTTTTCTTCTAACGCGAAATGGACCAACCTGGAATTTGCAGAAAACAAAAAAAAATCGAAATAATTAGTTTATTTATATTTAATTAGTTTATTTATACACGGCAGATATTTGTAAAATCCAGCAGTAAAATCCGAATATCTACACGTAAATTTAGATAAGCTACAAGAATAGCTTAAAAAATGGAGAATAGCAGATCTGCTCAAAGCAACAAAAGTCAAATATCTAGGCATGTATCTAGACAGAAGACTCACCTGAAAAGATCACATTCAGGCCAAGAGGAAGCAATTTGAAATAAAGTTTAGAAAACTACTGGCTTCTAGGGAAAAAGTCGGAATTATCAGTGGAAAATAAATTACTTATATACAAAGTAATACTGAATCCCGTATGGTATTCAATTGTGGGGTGAATTATCAATTATACACAGGTTCCAATCAAAATGCCTAAAAAATATTATTAGGGCTTTATGGTTCGTTAGGAATAAACAAATACACGAAGATCTTCATATAGATATGGACGAGGATACAATAACAACATTTAGTGGTAGATACCAAGATAGACTGAAGTCACATACTAATGTTCTGGTTATTGGCCTACTCGACAATAGTGAAACCACAAACAGGCTGAAGCGTTGCAAACCACTAGATTTAGTATATAGATTTAGATAATTATTAATGTTCCAATCATCATAATGGTAACTATCCACCGGGAAATATTATTTACATATGATATGTATAATATTGGACAAAAAATTTAATGGTCAATAGCCTTTTATAACTGCGGATTATTTTTTATTTTATTATAGTTATATAAATACGTTTAATTTTCTCTATTTATGTATGTTTAACTGTTATTTTTTTTAAATTATTTTTTATATTTTTCTAAAAAATGCGCAGAGAAGAATCAGAAAAAGTAATTTGAAACTATCGTGAGATAATAATTAAAATAAAAAGCAATTTTATATGCAATACAATAAGTATAAGTTTCAAAATCAAATATCGTATGTATCGATGTCAAATAGAAGAAAAATAAAAATAAAAGCATGTTGACATACTGCGTTTCTTTGGTAGAAAACGGTTCGTATCTAACATAGTTGTAAAACCTCCGTACAAAATGTTTGCGCTAAAACTTTCATCAGAATTTCATATTTTATGACCATGTCTAGTTTACGTGTTTTATGTTAAACATAAAATAAAAAATAATACACCTCAACAGCATAATTTCACTTTCCTCAACGAGTGAATTTAATTTTGGCCAGCTTTCAAGTTTGTCCAATAGTTTTGTGTTAAAATTAATGATTTTGTTTGCTTTGCTTTGCTTTCAATCCTACGTTTCTTTCTTACTTTTTGGATTTAAATATTTAGCTATATTATTTATAGTCTAAAGAAAAATACGTTTCATCTTAAAAACATAAGAAATTTAGATATTTTCACTTTAAAGTTGACAATTTTAATAAAATTCAGATTGATCAAACACTTCAAGTTTAATTTTAACACTTCTTATAATATTTTATCTATTAATTTAATGCCAATGTTTGATAATTATTAATTATAATTATTAATAAGATATAATAAACTTGTGGTAGAAAAAGAAATTATATCTTCAAAATTAGAAAGATGAGATGTATTTTAGAACAAGATTTTTATTAGCAACGTAGACAAAATTAAAGAAGATACTACCAAAAAATGTTAATCTTAATTTTGGATTTAACCAATCATTAATAAATGCATTTACTTCGTATAGGCAATTGTTAAATGAAAGAGAAGAAAGTACAAACAATGAACTTTGGACTCATATTTTAAAATGTATGTAAAACATTCATTTTCTCTACGAAGAAATGTAACCCGATTCAGTATTATTACCGCTGAAAACAAAGATTCTCTTAAGAAATTCTATGGAATACATTACAGACGTTAATATGATATAATTTTTTAATAAAACTATGTTACTTTTTGGTGATTTTTGGATATTTTACTCAATTTGATCATGGATTACATTTTTTATTAATATTAATTGCATATTGTTAACTATTAGTCTTGTTAAGACTCAAATTCTATTAAGTTGTCAATAAAGCGGATTTTGTCACATTCGATCTTAGCTTTTGTTTTGTCAACGCGTTCAAAGCATCTAACATATTGTTTTCTTGTTGTTTGAACTTCCACCTTTAATTTACTAAAAAAAATGTGTCAATTAGTTATTTAGATTTGTTTTTATCCCAATTTTAAAAATGGAAGAACAAGAAGCGCATTTCAGGTATATTTTATAGCATTATTTCTTGCATACAAGAAGTTACACACTGTATATAGAAATGTAGCCTTGAAAGAAAGGCAGTGTCAAAATTGGTTTGCCAAATTTCATTCTGGTGATTTTTCACTGAAAAATGCGCCAGATCGTTGATGAAACTCATATCAAGGCCTTATCAATTCAGATCGTCATAGCACAACACGTGAGATTGCAGAGAATTTTCCTAGCTGATCCATCCATGTAAGTAATACTTTTGATACATGTTGCTTAACTTTTCGATAATGTGAAATCTTATATGCGACAACATAAAAGATTTTTACATTTTAGTCCACACGAACATTTTTTAATTTAAACCATTGCAGTTAAACATATTTTGTTATTATTTAACTCACTCATTGTATGCGACGATGAGAGTGGAAATAGTGCAGATGTGTTTGATTCTCCGGAGGGAATATTTTGGTGTAAAAAAAGCTTCTTTCGGTCGCGTCAACGGAATGTTCAGTGATTCTACCAGTCTTCGCTCACCTCGTTCATCATCGCAGCCTTTCAACGCACCTTTCATCCCTCCCTTACGCACACCCGAAAATAAAAATTATTACATAAATAAATCCTATATACAGTTGACGATGAAACGACAATAAATATATAAAAAAAAATAGAATCTATTTTTGTTTTCTCTTTTATTCTTATTGCATATACTTTTTTTTTTTTCTTCTTACAGTTCTAGGAGAATTCCATTTCACTTCCGAGGCCACAGGTTATAATTAAACCATAATATTATGATTATTTATATGAATTGATGGAGTGGAACTCTGCACTGCAGACGTTTAACGTTTAGAAAGTTGAGAAAATGGGAAAATTATGCGCATGTTCTTGTTTTGCTTGAAATAATTAGAATCAAAATAGAAGATTTATAATGTTTTGTATCATATATTTAGAATAAACAACTTTCTTTGATATTCATTTCTTTTTCAATTACCACAATCAAATGATTAGTTTATTCATCAAGTTTAATTAACGATTCAATAACTCTAATT